TGCCCGGCCCCGCCTCGCCCGGGCTGTCCGCACCCTGCCCGGCCCCGCCTCGCCCGGGCTGTCCGCGCCGTGTCCGGCGCAGTTCCGTTGGCGGGATGCTGCTGCCTGCGGTCTCGGTCCGGACGTGTCGCACCCGGGCCGCAGGTCCGAGGCAGGTCGTGCCGGTACGGCGGCTGCCGATGAGCTCCCGCCGGCGCTGGGGCGCGAAGGGTTAGTCCCTTCCGTCAGGATGGGCAGAGCGGTACAGCGACCACCTCGAATGCTCAAAACCGTGAGCAGGGCTCAGACCTTTGAAAGAAGAGTTCGGGGGCAAAGGGGTATTGATTTACTTCATAGTCTAGTTTAGAATTTAGTTACTTAAATACAGAAATCCAGATTTTTAAATGCCTGGTGTTGAGTTGTTGCAGTACCCACAATAAAGCAGTTCTGAAGACTCCAAGGCTTGGCAGTGTCATTCACCTTCCTTCTCTCTCTTCCATCTCTTGGTGGTGAGCGGATCCCTTCTTGGTGGTTCCTCTTTCTGTTCAATTAAAAGCAAGTATAATTGTCTCCAGTGAAAAATCATGGGATTTCCTGGATTACACATGCATGAGGTACAAAAAGAATCTGAATTTTTCCTAGATGACAGTGCAAAGCTGACATGAGCTATCCGTTGCTGTACTGGCAGACCATGGTGTAGGCAGGAGTTCTTACTGTCAGGGGTGAGCAGAGAGGCCCTAAGTTTGGGCACAAATCCTTGTTGCTCACAGTTCTGGCCAGCCACAGCTCCAAAGCAGTTCAGTGCAGATGGCCTTAAGATGAGACAGAAGAGGTCCGCATTAGATGCTAGAAAAATTGTTTTCACAGTCAGAGTGGCCAGGCATTGGAACAGGTTGCGCAGGGAAGTGGTTGAGCCTCCACCCTTGGAGGTGTTCAAGAGGCATCTGGATCTGGTGCAGTGTGATGTGGTTTAGTGGTTTAGGAGTTACAGTGGTAGTGCTGGGTGGATGGTTGGACTGGATGACCTTGAAGGTCTCTTCCAGCCTTGGTGATCCTATGATTGTATGTGCAAAAGCTGAGCAACCCCAAGAGACTTCTACATGCTAAACAAGGGAGAGCCACCAAAAAGTAAACCTAAACCACTAAACCAAAAAGTAGAAGGTAGAAAAATCCATGTCTTCTCTGACAGAAAAGGAAGGACCACCCTGTGCCAATGCAGTTGGGTGGAAAAGAAACCCGGCTATTATAAAATGATACAAGTCAGCAAAAATGTGCAGAATTTCCTAAAACAGCGCTAGGTCCTGCCCCTGCAGTCCACAGGATTTCCACAGATGAGCTACAGTTTAGGATGGGCAGATAAATCAGCATCCTGTCCTCTTTTCTTGTTTCGTACGGTCTGAGACTGCAGTTGAAACCTCAGAAGATTCAGATAGTTGGCATTTTGGCAAGCATATGTGAATCTATGGTGTCACAGGACTCTGACAAAAGATAATCAGAAAAAAAAACCAAGGGAGGAAAGGGAGGAAAATACAAAATAATCATCTCTGCAGACAACTGCTGATGTTACTAGCTTATGGGGTTTTCTCAAAGTAAGATCTTAAATGGTGTACTAGCTCTCAACAAATAAATTAGGAGATGCAATAGGTCTTTTTCACATTAAATTGTGGTGACACCACTGACTATGAGCTTTATGAAATAAATCTTGTAAACAGGGAGAATTAGTATATCAAAAGGGTTTAATTTATTTCTGTGTGTTGTAACCTGCATAGCAGTAGTATTTCAGTTTGGTTTAGAGAATTGCACTGAACAGGTAAATATGTGAACAATGCAGTAAACATGCAAATAAATGCCAGCGTGCATTAAATTTTATCATGAAAGTGGAGGGAAAATGTGACAACAAAACATGAAGATGAAATATTTTCAGATATTTTCATACCAGCTGATAGAAGTACTTTCTGTTTTCAGGTGATTCAGTCTTAATATTCGCTGCTTATTTTTGACATGGTAGCTTTCCAGAGCTGCAGCCTTTCACTGCAGTGCAGAGATGCTCTTCCAGATGGCTTTCTGCCAAGGAGAAATGAAACAGGAGACATGCAAACTGGAGTGAAAGCTTAAAAAGAATATCCGAATGCAGAGACTAGAAGCTCTTGGGAAGACTTTACAATTAAAGCATTAATTCTGGTGATGTGATCCATTGAGTTATGGAATCATGGTTATTTCTGTTGCTTTCTAAGTGAATTGGAGCTGTCTGTGGTCACAATAGAATTGCAGTAGAAAAGGCTTGAGTCCTAGTGTGTGTGCACTGCATGAGACAGTGAAATGGGGGATTTCCAGCCTACTAAGTTCCTCCTTTTCCCTGTAAATTCACACTCTAGAACCACGTAATAAACCTGTACAGCAATTATGGTGTAAGCCTCTGCATTCATGCACTGCAGCAGTTGCTGGCATTCCCAAGAAAATCAAAAGCTGGCTGGGCTGAACACAGACATTAGAGCTCCTGACAAACATCACAGAAGGAGAGTGGAAAAAGCAGAGTAAAGGATTACCTCATACGGAAGGGCGAGTCACAGGTAAATGACCATTACAAAAATCGATTTAGAAAGCAAGATCAAAAGGATTTTCATAGTATCATGAGAACAGCCAGCTACAATATTTTGTTTCCTCAACCCTTTAGCCTGGAATGATTACTTCCGGGCCTTCCCAGCTGAAAATTTGAAATGAATAAAAGTACCTCAGGCAATCAGAGACCTGTGGAAGTACCCAGCTGGGGATAACGCCTTTAACAGTGGTGAAATACAGTATCATTTTGACTGTGGTATTTCTAAGAACCAGAGAAAAATAGGTGACTGCCTAAAGGACTTTGTTCAGGCCTTGATCTTTCCTGTGGTGAACACAGTAATCCCTACATGGAGCAGAAGAACCCAGCATTCATAATGCTTTTATGTACAAATGGAGCCTTATGGTGATTTATAGCGACACTCCCGGGATGTGTTGTAAGATAGAGAAATGGAGGGCTAAGGCCTTCAGTTTGACCAAACCACATGTATTTTTGCTTCTATTTGACCCCATGGGTGATTTATCAGAGTAGAACTCCTATTCCTCCCATTTTAGTCTTACAGATGTCGCAAGATACTATCTCTTGTGCAATTTGGAAAAACTGTATCTCTGATCAATATAAGGATATAAGAGCCGATGAAATTATCTGGTATATTCATCGTGTCAAGTGACCCAGGGCTTTGGAATTATGAGGGATATTTATCAGACTTTGAAAGGTACTAATAAGTACTTTTATAGCAATCTTTCTTTGAAGCCAAGGTGATTTTTAATAAATTAAATATTAAATACAAACTGGCCGGAATCCATGCCTCTTTGTTTCATCTTTCCACGTAACTAAAAACAGTTACAGTAATACAGCTGAAACGGTCAGGAAAAGCACAAGTATAAAAAAAAATCGAACATTAATAAGTTTTTTTTTTCAGACTAAACAGTGTAGGTTGCCAGTAGCCTTATTGAGCAGTGCAAAGAAATGATAATGCCACACTTTACACCGTAACTGTGCATACCTCTTTCACAACTTCTCCCAGTCAGTAAAGCCATGCAGTGGTTTCTACATTTCTCCAGAAAAAGGTGCAGAGAAGCTACATGATCCCGGTTTGTAGTGAAATAGTTTAATTGCTGTATTTCATGGTGCATTTTGTGCTATTGAGTAGGTTGCCAGTGTTCAGAGGAAGTATTATGCAAGTAAAGTTAATGCTTGAGAAGTTAATTTGGTCTGGCAATCACAGTCCTATCCGGCATGATCGAATATCTGACCTTTCTCGTTGTAGCATTCATACGGTGAACACTTTCGTGTGGTCAGTCTTCGACAAATTAAGGACGTACATGCCGTGCGTGGGATTTGAACGACCAGCCACTAAGCATCCCTCTTGTGTAGCAATTGTAGGTATTTGTAGTCTGTTTAACGTTCCTAACGTGGATACGCAAACTAGGATTTCACACTGCACACTGTAAATTCGTAACATACTCATATTTGCAGTGTTTCGGTATGTACAACCTTTTGTCTATAACGTTGCATAGCAGTTTCTTCCAAGCCAGGTACCATTTTTTTGCATTCTGTGATTTTGGTTCTATAACAGGTTTTTATATAAAATATACAAAATTCTCATCTATAAAATACAGAGAGATATAGAAATAAAAAAGAGAATTTGCAAAAGTAGATTTAAATTAGGCTATTCAAACTCACTATTTTTAGGCAAGAAATTGTATGCTGAAAGACAACGCTGTGACAGTTATGCGCAAGGCTTCTTCGATAATCGTTTAGTCATATAAACACGGGAAATTAACTGGATTTCACTCTCCTGTGATATCCAAGGAAGAACGTACCCGATGGTGGCTGTCCGGGGCACGCGGTGCTCTGTCCGTGCCGGATCCCGAGCACGGGGCTGGTTTGTGCCCGTGCGGAAAAGGGGATCAGGAGGGCACCGCAACGACACCTCCGGCCCGAATCTCCCCCGCCCCTCGGCCCGCGACGGGCGCCAGGTGAGAGGGCGCTGCGTTCAGCCTGGGGTGAGCTCCGCCGGCTGTGGCCGGACGGAAGACACGAGGCTCTTTGTCTCTCCTGGGCTCTSGTGGAGGGGCCGAGCGGGCGGCGCAGCTCCGAGCTCGCCACCGTTCCCGCTCCCAGGGGCAGTCGCGGTCCCGCTCCGCTCGGGGCCGGGGCCGGTTCCCCCCCCCGCGTCTCCCTGGTAACAGCGCGGGGCGGGCGCGCTGCGTGCGCCAATCGGCGCGCGGCAAGATGGCGGCGGCGGGAAGCGCGGCCGGGCCGGGCGGCGGGCAGGCGGCGTAGGGCCGGGCTGGGCTCTGGGGTTGCGCCGCCTGCATGGAGCGCGGCGAGAGCAGCCAGCTGGACCCCGGCTTCTCGCAGCAGCACACGCCCCTCCTCATCGTGGAGGACTCGCAACCCAACGGCGCGGAGGCGGGCGCAGAGCGGGCCTGGCTCGGCGTGCTGGCCCGCCCGCTGCCGGCCCGGCGGAGCCCGAGCCCCGTGCTGGTGAGCGCCCGGCGTGCTAGCAGCACCGCCCCGCCCCGCCCCGCCCGGCCCGGCCCGGCTCTGACGCGGCCCCTGCCTCTGTCTTGCAGGACATCGTTCGCGGTCCTGCCGGCAACCGTGCACCCGCGGGCGGCGGGGCGGCCCGGGAGCAACACGCAGGTAAGGGCGGGCCGTGGGGTCACGGCGAGTCCGGGTGCCGCGGTGGCGCTGACGACGCTGTGCTTGCAGAGCCCATGGAAACCCCGGGCCGCCCGGGCGCCGGCGGACCGCAGGGCTCCGTCGCGGAGGAGGCTTCATCGCCCGGCGGGGAGAGCAGGTACGTGGGCCGGGCCMCGGGGGCCGCCATCCGGAGGCTCTGGTCCGCCGCCTCTCCCGCCCGCTGCAATCTCCGTCTGGCTGGGGACAGGCCGAGAGGGCGGGCTCGGTTCTGTAGCCACCGCGCCCAGCCCCGGCCGGAACGTGCGGTGCGGAGGGCTGGGAGTGCCTGCTCAGCGCCAAGTGACCCCTCGGAGCCGCGGGAAGGCGGCCTGCAGGAACCCCCGCGCCACGTTAGCGAATCTCTCTGTTGCAGTGCCCTTGGAAAGGCCGGGACACGAAGTGAAGGTGATGTTGAGGACTGTGCTTCTTCGGCATATGTAGAAGGTAACTTCCTCATTTCAAGTCGGTTTTTTGGGTTTTGAATCAGATCCACCATCTGTGCAGGTTTTCGGTTGAGCTGGCTCACTTGTCTCACCGGGGGTAGTTGTGCCGGCAGTAATAAGTCAGAAACTGACATATTTTTCTGGAAGGCGATTTGTACGCTTTGATGTTTGAAAAAAAAGCCAAACCCTGCTTAATTTGTTATTTTTGTTATACTGGATCTTTGAGACGGGAAGTGGTTTAGAAGAGGCAGGGATGCATTGCGACTATTAGGAAATGGAGCTTTATTATGAACTGGCATAATGGTCGTTGTCATCAGAGGATTTTCTGACACAGGCTGTTTATTATCAAGATAATTTTCTGTTCATGGAGTGAAAACCCACTGCAGTACCTAATGGCATTACATAAGCTCTTGCTGATTAATAGTGATTTCTGAGTTAATGGCCACTGTTCTGTTACCATATTTTAATTAGTACACCTGAGAGCAGAGTCTGAGAGTTTATATAGAGATTCAGCAATAGCCTAAATACTTTGCTTTTTAGAGGGTATATGTTTTGCCCTTATAAAAGTGATAGATGGCTCTTGGATTTTTTTTTTAGAATATGTATTTTAAATGGATGGCTGTTGTTAGATACAGGCATGTCACAGCTGCAATTTGGAGTTTTAGAGCTCTCGCAGAGCCAGGACTTGGAGAATGACTTTGTGCCCAATGAGGGAGTTGCTGTTCTTTCCTCCAGACTTGTGAAGAATGAGTCTAAATATGGTAAGTGAAAATGATCGTAGATGTCCATTTGCTGCTTTGCAGATTCTGTCTGGTTTCTTTGAATTAAAAATGTTACATTTGTTTGATGGGAAATACAGTGTTAGTAGTTTTCAAAAATGAGCTCACAGGTTGCTGGTAGTTTCAAAGAATTTTGCCCCTTCTTTTCTTTGCGCTAATTCATTTGTTTTCTTGTAGCTGTCCAAGTGCTATTTTTGATTCTTTACTTCTCTTCCCTGTTTTGTTTCCAGGATATTTAGACAATCTGATATTGAATCCCCTTCCTGGTAAAAACCTCATCCTGTTTTTTTCTTGTTATCACAGATATTTCAGGATTTATTTTTTTCACATGAGGCTTGCCTTGGTACTTGTGTAAATTACAGAACTACACTTTCTTGTTTGTGTATTAATCCAGGTGACAGGAAAAACAAATATTTTTCTTTTATCTTTTTCTTTCTAGAACTGGGTGGGATCAACACAGAAACTGTCTCCAGTGCAGAAGCGCATCCTGCTTTGGACAGCCGGGCAGAGAAGTCTGAAAGGTAGAATGGTCTGTCTTCTTTGTAGGTCTCTTGTGGACATTCTGGAAGCTGGCTTGTGTCTTTTTTGTACTCAATCTTTAGATATGGGAGAGGGTTCACGGCAAAAGAGAAAGGTGAGGGGAAAGATGAAGTACTGCTGAGACCTTTTTGCAGCAGTGCTGACTAAGGAGTGTTCTCAGCATTCCTTGGTGAGAAATGTTGTGATGTCAAGCTCCTAAACATGAAGATATCATTAGATTTGTTTTTAAGGGAGAGTACGCTGTGTAATAAAATATGCTGATAGTTTTCTTAAGGTGGTGTTACTTGAATATAGTAGAAGCAATAATTCATTTAAAGTCACAGAAGTCATATTGAAATAACTTAAATCATTGTAGCAAGGACATTGGCTGCAGAGGAGAAATCAGGAGGCTAAGTGGTGGGTATTCCAGGATGCTTTTGAGTATTTGCTATTGTAAGCTTCATGGTTTTAAATTGTTTTTGAATGTGAAACTTCAGTTTGTTGAATAGTCTTCATTCTATCTGGCATAAAATTGATAGGATATTTAGCTCATCTTGTGTTATCATATTCTGCCACAAAATAATGTTAAAGAGGAGGTGAAATGAAATTCCTAGAATCTGCATTTCATTTAATCATCACTTAGATTGGTAGAAAACATAAAAAACAATTCTGGAAGTGTAACTTACAAAGATTAAAATGTTACTTTGTGAGGAGAAGTTGATCTTCCTTCTTCTCTCCTTTTTTTTTTTTCTGGTGTTATGCATGAGTGAATACCTTTCATCTGTTACTGATAGATTTTCTTTACAATGTTGTAGTCTTACTTCATACTTTGAATTTCTCAGGTCAATGACTGTCTTGCATTTCCAGAACTCTGCAGGAAGCGGAAGAGCATACCAGGAAGAAAACGCTTGTCAGTGACTCCACTAAAACGGAGGAATCCCTTGTTTCAGGTTATGAGGAGTCAGATATCTTATCAACTCAGGAAGAGATGTTTCCTGAGAATCATGCAACAGGTAACAATAGATAAGCAAAGCCAAAATGTCCATCCCAGAGACAGTTACAAACATCATACCTACTTGATCTTTATAGACAGGTAGTGTTTTGGAGTATAGAGTGCCAGGAGTATTTTTCATGTAATTTCTGCTAAAATTGAGAACATTTTGGAAATGAAAAGCCACAGTCTCATTCACTGTAGTATGGAGCGATGTCTAAATGTCACTTCCTGTTAGAACAGTTACTTTCTTGTTAAATACATTTCATTTCCTTTCTTTCTGTGCCCCTTGAAGAGCAAACCCAAAACCTGCATTTTACCCTCTTCCAAAACTGGTAAGGCTCACCCTTTGTAGTGACACACCATGTAAATGTGGATAAGTAGTGTGGGCAAACTTGTGCCCAGTGGCATCTATACCAGTATGATCTTGTGAATGAACCTTCTCTATCCCGAAGATGCAGTAASAACCTTCTCCTCACGCTGAGTTGGTGGTCTGTGCAAGGTGTTTTTTCTTGCAAGAGCCTTGCCTATATTTGCATTCTAGTGCTGGATCAAATGTTGTGATATCAGAGCCATTGGGGATTTTTTAAAAATTCCCAGGTAGGAAGACTTGTACAGCCTAAAATCTGTTCAAATTTTTCTTTTTCATCTGAACTATTTTGTGCTTGCATTTCACATACTGAACTTTCATGTGCAGCTCATCACCAGCTCTGAAAATCAGCTTGCTGCCTATCTTGAGAAGGAGCTGTGCAATAGTATGAATTTAATTCCTCTGAATTTGTTGATCTTCCTGGTTATTGAYGATATTTTTATCTTCATTTCCTTCTGTTCAAAACAACTGCAGGGAGTGACTCTCTGATAACCAGGGTGGAAGAGGGAAGATCTCTGGCGTGCACCCCTGCCCGCAGTCTGCAAGTCCTGCAGCTCTCCGGACAGGCCATCGTTGTACAGGAGTGTCATTCCATGTAAGCAAAAAATCCCCAAACTATCGTGGCAGTAGTGCATTTCCCCTACTCTCTTCTTCGTTCAAGGACTTGTGCTTGATTGGTGTTTTAATTTTGTACTGTGAGAGGAGCATGGCCTTATTTTGCAATCAAATGAGCTTACAGTGGGCATGTGATCCATGAGTGTTTACCAGCCTCTTGCTGGTGAACACCTGACATGTGCTTTTCATGAGAAGATTCATATAGTGACAAGCTGGAGCTTGACAGGGGGAGAAATTAATGCATTTTTTTAGTGAGGTGTGGTTTTCATTTCCGCGTTCTCTTTTCTTGTTCCACAGTGTCTCTTCAGGCCTACTTATTCCTCCTCCCGTTTCCTTTGGACCCGATGCCCTTGTTCCCAGCAGTCCTACTGAACAGGAGCAAGCAAAAGGTGACATTTTCTGCGTATTGTCTGTGGCTGTGTTTCTTTGCTCTACTTTAGTCTGAGCTTACAGCCTTTTCAAAACCTATTAAAATTATGTTTAAAGAGTAAAGCAGGACTGAGAGCAGTGAAGGGGTAGATGAAGGGAGATTTGTATTTGTGACTGCTGTTTTTAATTCTCTGTCTGCTATTGTTATTTCCTGCGTAGCTGTCATACTAAAATTAGTATTATTGACTAGTCCCCCTTCATGTGAAAGATGGGAAATGTTTTGTGTGGCATACAGATTGCTTCTGGCAATTATCTTCCGTTTTTAGGGATGAGCCATTCTTGCTACAGACAGATACCTGTATTCAGTCTATACTGTTAGGGCAATAGGAAGGACAGGTAAGAATTACATTGGAACAGTTATTTTACCTTAACGTAGACAGCTTGCGCAATATTTGTAAACCTTTCATATGCTATAAGCGTGTGTCCTAGAATGTCATGCCTAAAGAGGGATTATTTGATAAAATACCTTGGTTCTTAAATATTTCTCTAAGCACCCATTATCCCATCAGGGATAAGATAACCATCCATGCAGACTTCTAATATGATACAAAATCAGCTATTCCTTTCTGTGAGATACCCATCTCAGACTGTGAAATGCTGTCAGAACGGATATTTTGTTAGCTTGGGTCTGAATTTTGTTGCATTTTAATAAAGACAAAATGAATAGAGAAACATCAGAAAAATGCTTTTTTTTATAAATTTCAGACACTGTTTTCTAATTGTAGAAGTTCTAGACCTGGACCAAAATAGTCATATGAATCTGTAGCAAAACATTAGCTTCTTTCTTTGAAAGTAAGAATATGGATGCTTTTGTTGATTTTTTTTTTTTTTTCTCTACAAAAAGAATTCCCCTGGAGATAAGATTTTACAAAGTTGAATACACCACCGAGGACGAATCTTTTAATGGAATGTTGGAAATTTAGGTAGAACACAAGAATTTAGTAGTAATATAATTTCTTCTTTTTCCAGATGAACAGATGGATATATCTATCCCTGCAGAAGGAAGAGAACTGATGCAGAAACAGAGAGGAGATACGGTCGTGGAGATGAGTGTCCCCTGCATTCCTCCAAGATCTCTTGTCCAGCCACAGGCTTCAACTCCGGTGTCCCAGAGTGCCCCAACCTTCCTTCCTGGATCTTTACCTATACCATCACAACCAGAGTTCTCTCATGTAAAGATTTATGTATATATATTTTCTAAGGTTTTTATACGGCTGATGCAGAACATATGTTTGGGTCAACCTCTGTTCTTCTGTGTTTAGCTTCCCTACTAAGCTGGTTCTCATAAACCTCCCTCTTCCCATCAGTCACAGTATATATTAGTCATAGTGTGTGGCAGTTTTCCCTGCAGAGAAAATGAAGAACAGCTTAGGAGGGCATAGTGAGTTAGTGAACATAGAAGCTGTTGTCTTAAACTGTGCTAGAAACTTCTTTTGGTGCTTTTCTTTCCTCCCCTCTAAGAGAAGACTGCTGGCTTCTTATGCTGAACTCGGCGTTCCGCATCTCAAACTGCATCATAAGTTAGGCTTTTATCAGGCAAGACTGTAGTATCATTTGTCATAGAGAAAGGGAATCTGTTCCATTATAAAATATTTGTGTTCTCCTATTAGGCTAGAATTTATTTACTGCATTTTTCAAGTTGCTTAAAATTAGAATACCAATTTGCTATCAGTTGTTTCCCTTGTACATTTTGTTTCTGGAAATACAACTGTTCAAAGAGATTTAACAGACAGTTTATGCATTTATACCTTAAGATTATGAATTTCATCAACTCACTAGAAATTTCACAGTGCTTCTCCTTAGCTGAAAGCAGCATTCACATTGATAAAATGGATATAACAGAGAATCTTTCCAGAGCCCTTGATTGTTTGAGTAAAAATAGCTACTAATTTGCCATATTTGCCCTGTATTTTGTGATTTGGTAGTGAAAAGTACCGAGTCTGATTTTGCCACAGACATATCTCAATAGCAATGTGTTTCTCAGCAAAAATAGGTCAATCGTGGCTCATATAAATGGGTGGCAAAGAAGTGTTGGATTTTCTGTTTTCATTGGTTGTTTTTTAATCTGCAGTTTTGTGCTAAGATTGCTCTGCTCCACAATCCAGTGTAATGTTTTAGGAATAAGAAGTAAACAATCCTACTTGGGATGCCCTAATATTCCATGCCCTGTCTTTTTCATTTTAGGATATCTTTGTTCCAACTCAGAGTCCGGAGAAGAAGCATGAAGGAGAAGAAAAAACTGCCGCTTTAACCCCTTTATACTTACCAGGAGATCTCTCTGGATCCACAGATGCTTTGTCAAAGATGTCTACAAATGACTCTGTGTCACAGCCTCCCGAGTCCTGTAAACTGATGCTTTCTGCAAGTGCACGTAGCCAGCCCATGAATATGGACGTCAGTTCGGTCTCTCTGAACACGGGCCAAGATAGTGAGACCACACAGGTAGAGAGGATTTCTGAATGCAAAGCCTCAGACTCAAGACACTGTTCTGTGGAGAATGACATCATAAAACTGAGGGTGAATGCGGGTGATCGAGCACCCTCTGAAAACTATGGAAAAGCAAAAAAGGAGGATGTAGAGACTACGGGAATACGTGCAGGACAGTTTGCTAGTTCAGGTGTTGCAGGAGATGGGCCATTAGCCCCTACAGCTCATCGGGAGATCAAATGTGTTTCTGGAAGTCAGGCTGCTGCAGATCAGCCCGGTTTGCCGGAGATTTTGTCATGTGCTCAGGGTAGAGAAGCACAATCTGAAGATTTTCCTTTGGAAGAGGCTTCTGAACCTGAGGCAGTTCCTGAGACTCAGTGTGAAGAACAAGACGAAAAACTTCAAACAAAAGAGAAGCAAATAAAGGAAGACACATCTCTTGTTAATGTAACACTTTCTCCTAGGTTTATTCTTGAAAGGGAAGGACAGTGTAATGAACATATGGAATTGAAATTTGCTGATGATTCGTGTAAAAATAGCAAAAATATAGCCCAGGAATTAGAAAAGGTTGGACCAGGATGTCAGGGAAAAGAAGCTTCGAAAGATTTTGCTTTAGGCACTGGAGAGGCAAAGAACATGGATGAGCTGTCCTTTAAGGCTGTTGCAGAAAACATGGCAAAGCTCAATAAGGTTTTAGCTAAGCCTTCTGTAGGGGAGTTACTGGAGCAGCACAACAACTTGTTTCCAAAGTTAAAGAGCGATGTTCAATTGGAAGTGGCATCATGTGCCCAAAACCATCCAGGTTGTTCAGAATTGGGACAGGTAGTGATAATGAACAATCAGCCATCGCTTCAAGAGAGAGGGACTGAAACACAAGTGACTCAGCATGAGATCGAGATGCCAAAGAATATGGAGGATACTGTTACGACAAGGATTTTAGAGCAAGAGCAGTTGCAGCCACAGGAGAAGGCAAATTCTAAATCACCCAATCCTTCCAGTGGTGAGTGAATTTAGGTTAATAGTTCACAGGTGTATATTTTGAATATACAAAACAGATATTCACTTATTGAAAGCAAGTTGAGCTGTCTCTCAAGAGCAACATTACACCTTACTGTGGGAAATGCAGAAGCGTGACTCTTTGTTTTCCCCTCTCGTGTCACACTAGTGCAGAGCAAGAATGATTAAGTGTTTCTTGTTCCTGACTCACTTTTTTACGGTAGAAACACAGGGCGGCTTGAAAACTTGAAATGTTGTGACCTTGGCAATGTTTAGGGATTTTTGTGACTTCTCCCTCACTAAAGAAACAGTAGTGTCCTTGAAAGGAAAAGGGTGTGTGGTAGTCACATACACCGTTGTAGGTCTCCCTATTTTCTTTTTCTCTTTTTTCGTTCTCAGAGGACAGTTTTCTTCGTGGGAGTGTACAGAGCAACTTTGAGCTAGAAACTAATATAGCAATATTATTTTGAGATTATTTTAAAGTAGAATGGCTTTTCACTTGCATGCAAGCTGTGGCTCAGCAGGTATTACCATGACTCGTTGAAATTCCTTAATATGCTCTGTGTCTTTATACAAGATGCGGGATACTATACCTGTGTTTTGTGGAGCTTTTGTCTTTTAGCTGTCTTCCTTTTAAAACAGTTCTCCAGTCCTTAAAGGAGAATGAATGAAGAATGCAGGAACATGATTTTAGTGTCAGAAAACATATTTGCCCTCTACGAAGTTTGTTTGCAAAAGGGAAAGACTGTAGGACCTCAAATGTTATTTAATGTTAAGTAGAATGCTGGAGTTTTTGCTACAATATTCCTAATTTCGTGTAACAGAAAGAGGGAAAAGTAGCTTTACATTATAGAAAATAATGCTTTGAGGGGATCTAGTCAAAAGTCTGGTCAGGAAATTCAAAGGTATTTTGACTCCATTGTATTTTGTGATCTCAGATGAGCTTTTCTGTGAATCAGTCCAGGGCATTTGGGACTGCATGTTTTTGAAGACCTTTCGGCATAGTCAGGAGAACAGTAGTCAGTAGCAAGATAAACAATTTTCACTGACAGAGATTTTCCACATAAAATGTGAGGCATATCAGAGCAGCTGTTCAGAGGGGTTTTGTACAGCACCAGTGTTACACTTTTCCCTTTTTCCACAGCATGGTGAACCTGTGCTTTTGATATTTGAGCTAAAGTAGATCCTTGAATTTACTAATTCTGGTGCTCTGTGGTCTTTTAGGTACCCCATTTTGTTTTACTTTGCCGAAGGAGGGTGATGTCATTCAATCCTTAACCAGCATAACACCACCCCTGACTGGCCATCTTAAAATGGGACCCAGGAGACACAGTACACCAATTGGTGAGTTTGACCTGAATGGCTCTGTTCTGCAACAAAAGCCTGGAAGCTTTTGATTCGTGGTGCAGGATCTAATAGGATAACTCAAACCTACCTTGGCAAAAAACATTTCTACATTCCTGTTCCATGGGAAGGGCTCTTCTCCACTGATTCCTTGTCACATTTTCTCAGTCTCTAGCGAAGGTGTTTGCTCCCTGAGTACACAGTCATATGGAGTGTGTCTTCCTTGTGCTCACTGTGGTCCTGCATTGAAGAATCTAAAAGAGCCTTCTGAGTAGCAAAAGTGCTTAGGCTACAAGAAGATCACAGCCAGTGCTCATCATCTTCTATGAGAACTTTCTCTGCTAGGTTCACAAAACAGCACCTCTCGAGTGCTAGATGAAAGGAACATTGTTCTGCTTGGGTAATAGTAAATTATTCTGTCACAAGCCAAGGATAATACCTGTGCTACAGAACTTTCACGCTTCAGATCTCTGGAAAGGAATTTCCGCAACTCACCCGTTACTAATAATGCGTGCAGTGAAATGTCTTCAAACCAGAACTAGGACCTCAATCCCAGCAATGTGAAAGTCACTAGCTACCTCTGGTTTCTTGTTTTTGTTTTTCTGTTTTCAGTGGATGACACGTGCCCAGACAGCACGATAGCAACCAGTGATGTTACAGCAGAGGGCACTATGGGGACCAACAATGTTACTGTGGAAAGTGCAGTGGTATCAGCAGATGTATCAGAAGTGTGTGAGAAAGGAGAGTCTGGTGTGGTTCCTGAGTTGGGTGCAAAACTTTCTCTGCGAATGATCCCTGTAACCCCTGTGAAAGATGGGAGCGAGGAGTCCTTGCCATTCAGCTTGGAAAGTAAGAGGATGAAACCTGAAATGTATGGGTCCTGTTGGATCTCAGCCCTAACTCAAAACCTTTCTGTGGTATTCCTCAAGACAGTCACTGAGTCCCTATAATTTTTCTCATTTTTCCTTTTGGGCAGTGTTACTTAAATTTATTTCTCTGTTTCTGCAATGTTCTGAGCAAGGATGGAGTGAGAGGAGAGGCTTCTGTTGTGAGGAAAGGTATTTCCAGCAGACTAAAAAATGTATAATGGCAATAGTACAGGACAGGAAGTTGAGGTTTGATTGTGTTGGGAGGGAAAAGATTGATATATATATACATACATATATATATATATTTAGAAAAGAAAGTATAATCGTGGAATGGTTTGGGTTGGAAGGGACCTTAAAGATCATCTAGTCCCAACCCCCCTTGCCATGGGCAGGTACACCTTCCACTAGGCCATGTTGCTTCAAGCCCCATCCAGCCTGGCCTTGAACATTTCCTTGAACAGAGTTGGGGCAGCCGCAGCTTCTTCATGCAGCCTGTGAAAGTGCACCACCACCCTTGCTGGGAAGAATTTCTTTCTAACATCTAATCTAGATCTCTTGTCTTTTTATTTAAATGCTTCCCCTTGTCCTATCTCTATCTGCCCATAGAAAAAGACTCTATCTCCCTTTTCTTTAAGAAGTCTCCTTCTAAGTACTGAAAGGCCACAGTGAGATGTCCCTGGAGCCCTCTCTTCTCTGGGCGGAACAACACCAGCTTTTCCAGCCTGTTTCCATAGGAGGGATGCTCCAGTCCTCTGATCATCTTTGTTGCTTCCACTCCAGACAAAAACGTTTGATGGGATTTTAATCAGAATAGTGGCATTCGGCCTAATAGTCTAAAACTTGTAGAAACTTCAGTCTGTTCTGAGAAGTTGGGCAGAGAAGCCTGGGCACCTTTTTTCTGGTGTTACTCAGCCTTCTTCACTGAGGATATGGAGCTGGGAAAGGTCAGAAGAGTTGTCTTGGATGACACCAAACTCATCTTTCCCTTTCTTGTTTCAGAGCCTGCAGCCAGTGACGGGGAAGATGGATCCTCTGCTTCTGTTGAGGCTTGTGCCAGGTAACGGGGCTTCTTGCTGTGCAGAGTTAATACAAAGGTCTGGGTAGATCCTTTTTCCACACAGTATCAGCAGCAAGCAAAAAAAATTAGAAGCAGACACAGAAGCAAGGAACACTTTTAGCAGTATACATGACGTTAACTCTGTAGCTCTTGCAGCAGGTTTTACTTATATAGCCAAGGTGGTAACCCCACTTGCTTGTTCATTATGGGCTTTGTGGTTCCCATGAATGACAGCATTTTCCCTCTGCCTGGTTGTAGTCAAAGCCAGAAATTCATGTCTTGTGCAGTCCAGAATGCAAGTCTGCCTTATCCATCTCTTGAATTTCAAATGTGTGGGTTTCTGCTTTCTTTCATGGTGCAATTTTCTGCAAAGAATGTCTGAGAAGTTCTGAAAGAGAATTACCTTTTTGATACAAAGCTGATGGAGACATAATCACTTCATGGATATACAGAAATCACAGGTTAAGATGATCACCAAAACATTGAGTTATTCCCTCAGTCTTTGTATGTATGTATCTTCTCTCACATTTAATGTCTAGCATTGCTTGATTTTAGCTTTTGGGAAGTATTGTTTGTAAGTCCTAATAGAAATCTGAGTAGGAAGACAGTGACCTGTAGTCATCCGAGTGAAGCTCAGTGGTTTGAAGTAGTGAGAAAATTTAGGAATAAATTTTAGGATTAAATAAAATAGAAATGAAATTAGGAATAAATCAGTATCTATTCTGACAGGATTGCATGCTAGATGGTAATCGTTCCTCAGTGCTGAGGATGAGCAATCGTTGTCACTGGTTGAGGATGGGTTGCCTTGGTAGGTATGGGATGAACATGAATTCTCAGGGTCTGCTTTATGACTGTCATTCCCAGTGTTTTTGCAGTATCATGAAATTCCTGAGAAGTAACCCCTAAAGGCTCTAACTGTGTCTCCTGATGGGTACCAGAGGTAGTAGATGCTGAAACTTCTGATGGTGCTGTAGTTTTCCACACAACATTTTCTGCAATTGTTCCATTGCTCTCGGCTTTTAGGGTGTCTGCAGAAATGACAGAAATGCTTATGCAATTGCAGCTTCTTTCCTGATCTTTGAGACAGATCATCTCACTCATTCTGTGGCTGTGTAGGTCAACAAACTCAGTACTCTTTGTTGCTTTCCCAAAGAGCTAGAGGCTTTTTGTTTTGCTGTATAAAGGTTTTTCTCACTTTCTGATGTGTTTTTGTTTGTTTGTTTGTTTGTTTGTTTGTTTGTTTTAAATCTGCACTGCTAGCTCCCAGAAAGCATCATCTGTATTTAGTCGTGTCTGTGAAGTTCATCGAGAGGATGAGGCCAGAGGTCATGGTCTTTCCACTTCTCCGTTTAGGTAACTCCTCACAGTCTTTGCCTGCCAGTCCTGGTTGGATTTATATCCACATGTGCATTTTCTACATCAAAACAATTGCACTAAGCCATTTTCTTTGGGTGACTTAGAAGGTTGGGGACAATGGGGTAAGTATACTAAATTTGTATGTTTGCATCTCACATGGTAAATCAGTTTTGACTGAGCAGCCATGTGATTCAGGAAGACTGATATGCTTCAGCAAAGTCTTGGGCTTGGGAGAATTGAGATTATACTTAAGGCTGTTTAAATACCTTTTCCATGTCCTCTTCTAAGATCTTCTGACCGGTTTTGTTTGTTGTTGTTGTTGCTGTTGTCTCCCTTCCAAGTCCACTGATTTTTTCTGTCTCTGGTTGTTTTGAAAGGGACTGTACAGCTGCATATAATGGTGATAGGGTTGCTGCCTGGAAGACTAGAAGTAGAAATCTGCTTCTTCAGTGTTTTCCATTCTGTCTTTTGATGGTACAATGAGGTCTTGGTCTGTGTAGAAAGAGTAACCTATGTTTTCAACAGTTATACTAAAGTCCATAATGAATAGGGAGTTCCAGTGCTGGGTGAGGTACAGCCAAAAGGGAACAGAGTCGCTTCTCAAAATCTTCAAGGGAAGCCAAATATATACTTCCAGTAGGGCTCTGTATAGTGTCCCATGTAGTACCTGACAGAGGCAGTACTTTTGGTGGAGCAGAAGAATGCTAATGAAAACATTAGACGTCATTTGTGTTTATGCTGCTGGGTCTTGCTGCACGTGATTATCAGTTTCAAGCTAATCAAGCACTGGAGCAGCCTGCAGTTACTTTAAGATGACATGCTTGAAGCAGGTTTGCATAGTTGGTGCCTAATGGGTGGAACGTAGCAAGAAATTTTGTATTTGACTTTGTAGTTCTGTACAATGTCAGCCATACATTTTGCTACCATGTGTATCACTTGTGAAGTGTTGAAAAGTTTTTTTTGTAATTTGAAATCTCTAGAGTTCTGTGCAATCCTAAGAAGCAATCGAGTGATTGCCAGTGTCGTTTTGTTAAATACTGCTTTTACTTTTAGTGGCAGCATATTAGTTATCTTGTTTTCTTAATAATTTTGATCTGTGTGTAACTGGTTTGCAGGGGGGATTTGTTCATTTTTCCTGGCACACAAGGTGCTGAATTATATACAGCTCCCAGTGACTGGCAGTACCAGCAACACAAGGCAGATGACAGTGGTGGACAGATCCTAAATCCTCAGAGGATGCAGCAGGACTGTCACCGACAGTCTTCTGGTGCAGAGGATGGAGAGTCTATGGAGACTGATGTTGTAAGCACTCAGGCAGAAGATGGGAGAAGAATTCCAAGAAAACAAAATAAGGCTGTTAAAATTTATCAAAGTCAAGAGAGGTGGGAAAACATCAAGAATGAAGGTATCCAGACTACAGCAGACTATCTTTTTACCCCAACAACTGTTACATCAGCAACACAAACATCCGAAGAAATCTGTAGACTGGTGGAAGTGGGAACCAGTATGTCTGGGCAAAGACCTGGGCAGCGAGATGTGAATGTTCAAACTGACGAGAGTGGGGAAAAGCTTGCCAACGCCTCTGGAGACAACATGGACTCATTGCACAGTCAGGTGGGATGAGGGCTGCCTGTATTTAATTGCTTTAGAACAGTAAAGTATCCCTTCAGCCAGTAAATTCACTAACATTTGGTTCTCTTGTCGAAAAAAGGCAAAGGACCGCTTCAAAATGTTAATGTTGCAAGCTGCCCTGGATCAACTGCTAAGTTAGCAATACTCACTGGGCAGCATACATTTGGGAAGTAAATGTCTCCATATTTATTTTCTGGAAAAATGTGACAAGTTTTGATTGGTTGGTTGATTTCTTTAGGGGCTGTTTTTTTTGGGTGCAGGTATAGTTAACACTGTAAAAATTTTTTCACTTTTTGTTGGCCAGAGATGGGAGTTGCACGAGATGTTGAGTGAAGGGTTTGATGCTTTGTGTTTTGCATCAACCAACTTTTGATGTCTTGTTCTGTTGTTCCATCTGATGTTGGTGGTAAATGCATCGGGGGGGAACTCCTTCAGAAAAATTTTGTAACAGGATGCATAACTTCCAATTAGTATTTCAGAAAGTACTGCAGAACCAAAACCCCCCACTGTTCTGCTGTTGCAGTTTGTTTATTTTCTTATCGACTGAAGACGGGAAAAATTTAAAATTGTTTTTTCACTAAACCCAATTTAAGACTAAATCACGTCGTGTGGGACATAGGAGATTAACAGGGCCGTAAAAAGACAGTACAAGATTGATGTGATATGTCTGAGAGTCTACTCAATCAAAGAGTATCGGAAGCCACGCTAAACAAGTTTGCTGTTTCCTCCTTGGACTGCTATGATTTGCCTTCCTCTGCCCGTCAGCAAGATGTGTTCAGTTCTCTTTTGTTTAGGGTCTCTTGTGTTGTTGCATCTAATTTATAACAAGATGCTTAAAGGTTCCCTTCTCTTGTCCTTTAATGTGGTATGAAGAAACTGTACTGCAGAAGTTTATTTGCTTTAGGTTGTGATCTGTTTTGTCCTTACTGTATCCTCTTCATTGCAGGGAGAGGAGGAATTCAACTTTCTTCACCCACCCAAAGGCCAAGTTCAGCATCGCCACATGCGAACTATTCGAGAAGTGCGCACTGTCATCACACGTGTTATAACAGATGTTTACTACATCGATGGTGCAGAGGTGGAACGAAAAGTAGTCGAGGCAAGTTTCTGTTTTCATGGTTAAATGGAGTGAGATATTGGCTGAAAAATAGAAGTCGTTAAAATGAGAACGAGTTACGGTTGCAGAAAATGAGTTGAATGAACAAGTCTGTGTGCTGTGATGGCAAGGGTTTTTACGACCAAACTTGCACACCATTTAATGAATGGCAAAACCTGTGGTTTTGATGCTGGTGTGTTTCATGCCTGCTACTGTGTTCTGAAGATACACTGAAGTCCCAAAGATCTCACCAAAAGGCTTCACTATGTGCATCCAACTATTTTGAAATAGGTCTTGCAGTTTTGCCAGAATTAGAGAATTATTTGCCAGAATAGAGACATTTCAGCATGAGCAGAAATTTGATTAGTAAGCAAAAAGCGCTTTTGCCTGTGAAACTAAACTGAGAAAGTTTAGCCTTTTGCAGGTCGGTGTCAATTTTAACCACAGTCTTTTGAGTCCTGTATACCAGATTCTGTTAGCGGTCTGCAAAAATCAATTTAAAACTAAGGAACAAACTAGCCTTTTATTAGTACATCTGTGTTGTAGTATGTGCATTCGTTAATTGGAAAGTCTTTAGGGAATCACAAAAGATAGCTGAGAAATGCTGATTTGATGGGCACTGTAATCACATTAGCCTGCTAGCAATACAGTGTTACTGCTAATCTGATATAAAGGTAAATAAGATGAGAGTCTGCTGCTGTGTAGTCACAGTGAGTAAAGACAAAAGGATAAATTGGTTCAATACTTTCGCACGTGATACTATACGTTAAATTCCTTATTGTAACATCAAAATGGGGAATTAAGTGTCCTGGAACATGCTTATGTAGGTTGTGTGATCTTAATCGTATAGCCATTTCTACTTAATCTACTGATACTTGATGGCACTATTTTGTAGGTACATGTTTTTATGTACGTAAAACTTTATTAGTTCCAGATGCCGAGCTGTCTGAAATTGGTCTTGGATTATGATCAACCAAAGGCTCCTAGTGCTTTATGTATTTGTTGCCGTCTCACACTGTTGAAGGGTGGGAATTATTCAAAGCCAGGCCAATTAGATATCAAGCCAGGCTCTGTGCTCTTGTTAGGGAAATTTACCTGTCCGACTGCCCAGGAGCCCCTCTGGCAGTCATAACTGCACTGCCTGAGCTGGGATTGAGGCCCCTTCCCAGWGGATAGCTCCAGTGAGCAGATGGGTGCCCCGCTTGACTCCCTACACGTCCCACACTCACACGGTCACAACAGGTTTCCTCACCGGCTTGACTCCAGCTTTCCCATAGCATTGTCTGCTGTGGATCAGCCCAGACTGCATGGCTGTCATCAGCTTCATGAATGGGGTCTCAGCTTGTCTGCATTTTGGGCTGGTGGTTGTAAAGCTTCTGTCTAGCATTTGCGTCACCTTAGACAAATCTTTTTGTTTCTTTTAAGGAAACTGAGGAGCCCGTAGTGGAACGTCAGGAATGTGAGACCGATGCGTCCTCGTCTAGAACTGCAGTGGGCTCGTCACTGAACTCAGGGGACCTCGGTGATGTCAGCTCCTTCTCGTCTAAGGCCTCAAGTCTCCATCGTACTTCCAGTGGAGCAAGCAGTGGTCACTCTGCCATGCACAGTGGCAGCAGCTCAGGGCGAGGAACTGGAGCTGTCAAAGGGAAAGTGTGTGGGACAGAAACCGGAGAATTTGCTTTACCCACTGGCAGAGGCATCTTAGGAAAATTGAGGTAAGTGCAGGGTCTTGGAAAAAGAAGAACAGATATTTTGCAGAAGCAAGCATCTGGCTTGTGAGTGTGAAGCAGGGTAGACCTAAATCAAAAGTTTTCTGGGAAAGATATGGCTTGATAAACAGAAATAAGGAGGTAGTATTTGCTTTCACATCTGTCCTTCCCAAAGGAGCAGTTTTTTAGCTTGTGAGGCATTGCTTTGCAGTTTAGCAGCGATGAGGCAAACTTCTGGATATGTTGTGAGATGATCGAGAAAATGGGAGGATCCTAGTGAGCTGACGTTTCTTCTCAAAATAGTTAACTCATAAATTCTCTAGCCCTAGGAAGGGAGCTGGACAGCCTGCATCTCCACTCAGAGTTAGCCAGACAGGAGCACTGCCTTGTGAGGAAGAGGAGGACTCTGTGCCTGGCACTCGTCAGGCTGGCAAATCACCTGTGACACCTCGTGGACGAGGAAGAAGAGGCCGCCCACCATCTCGAACAACAGGAACAAGGTATCCTAGAAAAAGAAGACTAACTTTAATTTATTGCCAAAAAATGGAATAGGGAATTTCTGTCTTAATGTGCTAAAGGAAAAGGAGTACTGAATATTTCAGGGGTTAGTTTTTAGTGATATCGTGTAGCAGCTGCAACCACCTCACCCAAGTATTTTATACTTAGCAATTGTTTTTTTCAGATCTTTCTGGAAATGCCTTTTTTTTTTTTTTTTTTTTTTTTTTTTTTTTTTTTTTTTTTTTTTATTTCTTTTGGGACTGTTTTTTTCTACAGAGATTTAGCTGGACTGCCCAGTATGGAGGATCTCTCAACTACAGCATCACCGGAGGAGAAATCATTTACTCGTTCAGTTCGCCTGCCAGATGAGGGAGATAAATCTGACACTTCTGGCTTCTGTGCCTTACGTCGAAGTGACTCTCCAGAAATCCCATTACAAGTGGTGACTGGTCCTTCGGACTGTGCAGATTCATCCTCTGGGAGCAGCTTTGTGGGCCTTAGGGTTGTAGCGAAGTGGTCCTCAAATGGGTACTTTTATTCTGGGATGATTACCCAAGATGTTGGAGCTGGAAAGTACAAGCTACTCTTTGATGATGGCTATGAATGTGATGTGCTAGGAAAAGATATTTTACTCTGTGATCCTATCCCACTGGAGACAGAGGTGACCGCACTCTCAGAGGATGAGTACTTCAGTGCAGGTAAGAGCAGTGCTTGAGTTTTATCCTTGGTATTCCGAGTTGCTGAATGTAGGGGGAAATGGGTGCTTGTCGAGGAGGATGAGAACTCTGGGCATGGCGGGCTTACAGGTGTTATTTGCTGTCTTGTCAGGTGTGGTGAAGGGACACCGCAAGGAGTCTGGAGAGCTATACTACTGCATTGAAAAGGAAGGCCAGAGGAAGTGGTATAAACGAATTGCTGTTATCCTGTCTCTGGAACAAGGAAATAAGCTGCGGGAGCAGTTTGGGCTAGGTCCTTATGAACCTGTCACGCCCCTGACCAAAGCAGCTGACATCAGTCTTGGTAAGGGAAGGTGCTGTTGAGCTGCTGACTGTGCTGCTCTGTCTTGTGCCTTTGAGATAATTCTAGTACCTGATCTGAATTAGCAGTGTTTAAATATTTCCAGGTATTCAGTGATGCCATTGGTTGGCACTTTATAGTGAGATCTTTGAGATCCTTGTATTTTTTACCATCAGAGACTTAGTGCTGTTGACTGGCTTGTGGAAAGCAGTCTGCTTCTAGGACAGTGATGCTTCCTATACTTACATACACTTGGTGGATGGCTGCTTTGATACAAAGTCCCAGTGGTACTGGGAGGAAAAGACACAAGCAGGGTACAGGGTTTGAGAAGAAAGATGTATTTTTTCTGCTTTCCTCTGTCAGAGAGTGGTGGCGCGTATTTTCTAAGTACCATTGAGGTCAGTCACTTCTGTACAGATGGGTAGGGTGAAAGCTTGTGGAGTTTGGTGACAAGTCCATTTCTAATCCCTGCATACTATATTGCAGATAATCTGGTGGAGGGGAAGAGGAAGCGACGTAGTAACCTTGGTTCTCCCAGCACTTCCGGCAGCAGCACAACTCCCACTCGTAAAGGGCAGGAGAGTCCGCGTGTCCCACCGGTCTCACTGTCTGGGAAAAGGAAACTTATTGCTTCTGAAGATGAGCGATCCCCAGCTAAACGTAGCCGCAAGTCAGCAATGATAAAGCCTGGTGAGAATCTTATTTTCTGCTCTTAAACTTGCATTCATCTAGGTTTTTCCTCCCTGGTATTTCTGTAATTGATCTTTCTGATTCCCATAAGTAAAAAGTAGATGAGATTGCTTTTTGGTTCTGCAGGATTTGAGACTGATTCTCCCTGGATGCATTCAGTAGCCAGGGATATTTTTAGCATAGTCTGAGTACTTACCTGCCATCTTTTCAGTTCTGCCTCTTAGAAATGTTCTGAGTTTATGTTGTGATTTATCTCTCTCCTTTCTTATCTCTTTAGTCGGTCCTGAAAGCTGTTAAAGGGATCCCTCACAGCAGTCAGGGTTGTCTGAGGATGTTGATAAGACTGGCAAACTTGTCCCATTAGTCCCCCATGTTTTGATTTGAAGGTTCTTTGCAACCAGCCAGAAAGATGAAAGGTCCTACCTAGCCTAGTGTAATCCTAGCCCAATCCTGCATCTCTGTGTCTCCTCCAGTAAAATATATGAGTTGAACAGATTCCCCAGGTAACCTTAAATACTTACGGTATTGCTGTCTCTACAGGGGCTGTGAGAGCTGGAGAGTTTGTAAGCACCGGTGAAGGTAGAGATGCTGCAGATCCCCCGGCACTGGAAGGTGACCGTGGACCCTTGCCCCACAATAAGACCCTCTTTTTGGGCTATGCCTTTCTTCTCACTATGGCAACACCAAGTGACAAATTGGTCAATCGCCAGAAGTCATCAGATGGTCCTACAGGGAGTAGCGAGGAGGAAGAAGGTGAGGCAAATTTTACCTGTTGCATTTTCAAGTGAAATGCTGTGTCTTTAGGAAAAATGCTGGATACTGTATGATCAGACATTTGTGTAAGTATTTGTTCTCCCTTTGGCTCTTTAATCCTTTGCAGAAAGGACCTAAGACTCAGTCTCTGATTTAGCCAACTTACGGCCTAAGATGTTGCAAACCTCAATGATGATCATAGGCCTTTTCAGCAAGCTAAGAAAGGTGTGAAAATTAGTGAGGTCAGCAGTGTCACAATAGTATAATGTAAGGATGGTTTTGAGAGATAAGGGAGTGCTGGCAAATGCACAACTTTAAAGTGAAGGGTTGCTCCAATTAGCCTTTGCTGGTGTCATGTTCCATGTCGTGAAAGAAGTGACAAGGTGCTGTCCTTTCTGCTGCCTCTTTTTTTTTTTTTTTTTTTTGGGGGGGGGTGGGGCGGGTCACTCTTTCAATGGTTTTCTCTAGATATTCTTGGGAGAAGGGCTGGGATCCCTTACTGGAATGGATGAGGGCTCTGTTGACTGAAGTGCAGGAACATAAGCAGATATATTATAGTCAAAAATTGAACTTTGTGCTAGATTTTTTAGAGATGACTCCATACGATAAACATTACATAGCACAACAGCTGCGAGCAGGAGCTGGCTATATCCTGGAAGACTTCAATGAAACTCAGGTAAGGGCTCACTTACTAATCTAGAACAACAGTTACAGAATACTTGGGACTGGAAGGAATTTCTGTAGCTTATCTTGTCCAACTGCTCTGCCAAAAGCATGATCAAATAGACCAGATTGCCTAGGTCCTTAGGTTTTGAGTATCCTCAAGGATGGAAATAGCAGAGCTTCTCTGTGCAGCTTGATCCAATTAGAAAAATTAAAAAGAATTTCCTGTATTTCAGTTTGTAACTGTTGCTTCTTGTCCTTTGAGTGGATGACACTGAGAAGGGTCTGGCTCGATCTTTTGTACATCCTTGGATCAGTCATGAAGATGTATTAAAAAGACCACCCAGGTGTTCCCTTTTTGAGCTTTAACAAGCTCAGCTCTCTCAGCCTCTTCTGGTATGTCAAGTGCTCCAATGCCCAGGCCTCTTAGTGGTCCTTGGCTGGACCTGCTCCAGAATGTCTGGTTTTTTTGGTATACTGCAGAAGCTGGGAGTGGATGAAATACTCCAGACGTGGTCTCACCACAGGTCTGGGCATTGGAGCACTTAGAGGTAGAGCTCTTCACTTACCAGATCTACTTGGACAACTAATGTAATTTAGTGTGGCTTTTACTTAATTTTTTAATAAAGAGGGAAAATGGTTCTTGGAACATCTTGCTTGAGAAAGCAGTCTTGTCTAGTGACTTAGTGAGTCTCAGACTAAAAGGTAAATCATCTCCTCTGTCTGAACTGGAAGAGGGCTATGATACAAAAACTACGTGGAACTGGTATTGCCTGTGAACTGCAGAACTTGGAATAGGTGATAATTCAACAAATTCTGAAAACAGTAGTACCTTTCTCTAATTCACCTTTCACATAATATGGCTGTAAAAATCAGGGTTTCTTCTTCCGTTGTTTAGCAGCAGGATAATTTTGGGATGGGGCTTTTGCAAGCATTGTCTCCTGTTTACACGCTTTCTTGTCTGCCCTGAAGTGTAATGCGGCATACCAGTGTCTTTTAATTGCGGACCAGCATTGTCGAACTCGGAAATACTTGCTGTGCCTTGCCAGAGGGATCCCTTGTGTGTCTCATATCTGGGTCCACGATAGCTGTCATGCTAACCAGCTTCAAAATTATCGGAATTACCTTTTGCCAGCTGGATATAGCCTCCAGGAACAAAAATTGCTAGAATGGTGAGTGCCAAATAACCATGATCTGTGGACTCTTGGAGAAAAGTATTATGCTTGGGAGGCTCTTGAATGTGTATACATTCTGAAGGTGACCCTAGTACTTTTCCCTATATCTTCTCTTCCATAGAGAAATGGCACTTCCATCTCTTTCCTTGGATTTACAGTGACCTGTAATGCCAAGGCACATTTGGGTGCCATATACACAAAAACCAAAGTCTCCTTTGAAGTAAGAAAGGTGTCAGTCTTCTCATGAGGAAGACAGAATTCATACTAGGCTTCCCACATCCTTGACCAAGTGCTCTAATTGCTCAGGAGAGGATAAAGGAGAGCAATATTACATTAAATTCCTTTTCCCTTGGTACATTTCAAAGCTAGTTTCTGCATTTTCTGTGGAGTCTAATCCAGGAAGTTTGTTCTGAGATGACACATGATGTCCAACTCCTTAGGCAAGCTGAGGGGCAGACACGAATTTGTAGATTGTTGTAGGCTTTTGGGCAGGAGATTGATGTCTTCCCGCTCAGCCCTGTCAAAGTGGAAGCATCTTGGATATGCACAAAAAAGGTGGTTTGGGTTTAGGGAAGAGTTTAGCCTAACTTTGGATATAGGCTGCTGCACACACACCCCAGTGATGCTGTCTAGCTCTGTTTTGCTCTGCGTAAATGATAGCTACTCCGAGTACTTCGGGAAGGGTGGCAAGAGAGCAGGTCATTGTGTGCAAGATACTCAAAGAACGTGTATGGGAGCAAATCAGGTGACTAGACTACTGGATATTCTTAGCAGTCTGCATTTCATTTTACTCTACAGGCACCCACGAGAAAATCCATTCCATAACCTCAAGGTTCTCCTGGTGTCAGACCAGCAAGAGAACTTCCTGGATCTGTGGTCTGAAATCCTCATGACTGGGGGAGCAGCATCTGTTAAGCAGCATTACTCAAATGCTCACAACAAAGGTACTCATTGGCTGATATCTCAGAGAATACTGTGCCTCTGTGCTTTAAAAGCACGTAGGATGGTTTACATGGTTGTCTGTAAGTAGAAAGGATGGCAAAGGGCATAGTGATTACTCGTTACTTGACGGTAATCTGTATATAGATTACATCTMGGAGACCTACCATGCAGAGATGCTGCAGCAATTCAGATCACAAGCCATCAGCTTCTAGTCTATGTTGAAATGGGACGTAAGCAAGAGTTGCCCCCGGACCTTCTGTAGGCCTCTCAAATTGTGCTTCCCTTGCCTTCCTGAACTCAGGTGTTTCTCCCTCTCCATATGGGGTGTAGGCCCCAGCACTCACAGCTGGAAGTTGGGACTCAGGGTCATGCCTATACTGTTGGCTACCGGTTTTCTCTTAATTTTTAACTGTACTAAAAGGAATATTTTCTTGCTAAGTGCAGGGTTGCTGCTAGGCATGTCTTAACTTTTACAAAGAGACTTTTACAAATCACTGCCTAGGAATGAGAAGACATGTAAGCGTGATTCACGTGGTAAAATGCACTGATCTAACAGGTTGGATGGGGCTTGAAGCAACCTGGTCTGGTGGAAGGCCCATGCCTGTTCATTGCAGGGGGGGGAATGAGATGAGCTTTAAGATCCCTCTCAAACCAAATAATTTAGAAGCATGGAATCCTATGATCTGCTGCAGAGCACACTCTTCTTCTTCATCTGACAGATGTCTCTCTTTCCTCCCGTACAGATACAGCTTTGGGTGTTTATGATGTGGTGGTGACTGATTTTTCCTGCCCAGCCAATGTCTTGAAGTGTGCCGAAGCTTTACGGCTGCCTGTTGTCTCGCAAGAGTGGGTGATCCAGAGCCTTGTTGCTGGGGAGAGAGTAGGCTACAAGCAGCATCCAAAATATAAACATGATTATATCCCTCACTGAATGAAACTTTGCCCTGTGGTCCCAACTGTCGTGCTGACTGTGTTTTAATCAGGTTTTAAATGTTTGTGAATTGGGCAGTATGCATGGATTATTGTATATAGTTTTATCTGCTGGACTTTTATGATTTTAAATAAACGTTTGATCTCTTGTGGTATCTGCTGGTACTCCCTAACCCTAAACTTCTTCCAGGGCAATGCCTTCAGGAAAGGAGGGCAGAGAAAAAAGAAATGCTTACATTTCTCTGAGCTGAATTGCTCTAATATTTTGCTTTGAGTAAAGCCTGAGCTCAACACAAAGTCAGTCAAAGAGGGAGGGAAAAGGGTGTTTTCCATTGGCAGAAGTTCAGGGTGGTGGCATTTCTGTTGGAAGAATACCATGTTGTGTATTCCTCCAGTTTGCTGATGTTATTTTCCATTAATTTCATTGGGGTGCTGCTGAAGCAACCGCAGAGTTTCTCAAAGTATCATTTTGTTTTGGCTACCTTTTTTTTTTGCTGTTGCGACTGTATCGGTATTAACCTGTCATAGTGGAGACTGGTACTATCTAAACAGAGACAGACACAAGAATCTTGGACAAATAAATGGCTGGGAGACTAAGGTACAAAGAGTATGTAAGTGCTATGTATCTTTCAATGGTAATGAGATAAATCATCTGCTTCTGAGCTTCTGCATTCACAATTTAGTGGTCAACTGGCATAAAAGCAAAAGCTCTTCACTCTAACAGTGCTACAGCCAGAAGGCCTCCATCCACCCTCATACAACCTTTAATCCCCTGCCTCAAAACTGTATCGTTTTTTCTCAATGTGTATTTTTTTCCCTGTCATTTCATGGCTCAGACATCTGACTGTGTCTGTAAATCTCACCTCCAAACTTCAACACTTTCTCTAGCTTTCTAGCTTTTTCTGTGGTCAAGGGATTTTAAACTTTGCATAAGGTCAGTCTTACCATAAACAGCTGTAATGTATGGAAGGTGCCAGATCTTATATTTGCTGGCTGTTGTTGCTGTGTCTTTCTGAATGAGCAGATTTTTTTTTCCCCCCAAGGACATGTAACTTCAGTGTGAGCTGCGGCTGTGTGCAAATACCAACCCTTTGAGGGGAAGGCTGGTTTCCTGGCAGCGTTTGTGTTTAAATTTGGAAACCCGGTACAACACCCCAATGATGGACTGGAGGGTTCTTTTTTGCCAGTCATTCAAATGGACTTGCATGAAGATGGTCTGTTTGTTACAGCAAGGCCAAGGAAATCTCAGCAACAGGCAAGAAAATTCCCGCCAGATTCTGCTTTTCAATGACAGACGAGGCCATGCCACGCTAGTCCTTCTGCACTGGGTGCAGACATTGACAATATGCCATATAATTGCACGATAAGATGTTTTTATTTTGGTTCAGTAGGGTAGTCACTAACAGCATTCTAAATAGTCTGAAATGAAAACAGCACAGGTGGAGCCAATGCTCCAGGTAAGCCTTCCCTTACCATTTTTCTGCCGGCAGAGGGACGCCTTGTACTCAGAGGGCATGGGTAATTTCAGTACACAAAATGTATTAAATTGTATAGAGAAAGCATGTGGTATCACAGCTGTGTCTTTGATCTATACAATATGCTAGACTAGTGCACTGCATGAGAAGAAGTTTAAAAAAATCTACTCCTTCTTCCCTTTCCCTTCACCTCGACTGCTAATCGACCATTTATGTGGTGGTATTTGATTAGCAGACAGTGTGTGCTGTACGTCAGTTTACTACACAAGTGGAACTTCTGAATACAGCCAAAACCTCATTCATAGTCAAGAACAAGATTACTTCCTCCATGCTTAAACTTGCAGTGGAGCATAGTCCAGCTGAAAAGTCAAGATAACACGCTTCTTGTTTTTTCACTTCCTGAGGAAGTTCATCTTGCCTCCCAAGAAGCACTTACAAGCATACGCAGGGCCACAGAAAGCATATTTTTACTAGTTCAGAAAAAATGGAGTAGCTTTCTGCAATCGCTGAGCAGCCTTATGTAAGTGGGACCTCCCTCCAATTCCTTCTGGAACAGTAGTTCACCAAGGCAAAAGCCAGCTACAGAAAAAAATTCAGTTGAGCACGAACTCTCCAACTCCAGGAGAACCAGTCTCCGGTGCTTGACAGATCACTAGTCACAGCTGGAGCACACCTCAGGGCTTAGACGCCAAAACTGCAAGAAAAAGGTACAGTATTAACTACATCTTGAAAGTGACTCCCTTTACCAACCCACTCCAGTATTTTTTAGCCAGCGTGAGCAGGCAGCTTATTCAACATTTGGATAAAAGAAATTTGAAGGGGAAAAAGCATACCAAAACCAATAATTACTGTATGCTGATTTGTTACTTTTCTGTCATAGTATTTATCAACACTTCACGTAAGCCAAAATAATTACAAGCGATCAATAAAAATGGATTTTTACTTCAAATACCTCGGTACAAAGCTACAACAAAACTTCAAGATATTCCTACCTGCCCAAGGTTCCTCCAGCCTGAGTGTAATATTTGTTATAATCCAAGCGTAGCAGCAGTTGAGCTAAGTCAGAGTTTATCTGATGGTTGCGAACGCTAGAGAGAATCTTGAAGAGAAGCGATGACTGACGACTGAATCCCTACAAATTTTAAGATGTCAGTTCTGGGCCCTCTCAGAAAAGAGAGCAAGCAAGGAAGCCTCTCCTCTCTGTTTCTGCCTACCCAACCCTTTAACAGCCTTTAAGAAAAGAATCACTGCAAGAGATGTGATGCTTGTGGTCCAGGATAAGGTAAGCTGTGAGCCACAATAATTCCTAGATGTTAGCTATCCAAAAGGAGGGGTAGAGGTACCAACAGATACCTGCCTCTTTTCTTTTACATATCTGCCCCCATTCCTCCTCTCTGTGCACATGGAATTTCCAGCTCGGAACAGTTGATTAGTTAAAGTAATTACAAGCACTTACAAAGAAGGTCTTATCTTACACTCTTGTTCTACAGCTGTAAACTGCTGATAACTGCTTAGCCAAATGTTTGCATGGGAGAAGAACAGATACACAGAAACACAGATTCACCTTCACCAAAATACTGAGTTGTGCAGCTCCCCGTTCATCTAATGGGCCCAGATTCTGACTGACTAGGGAACAAAAACTATGACAAAGATCCAGAATTTCATTTAAGCAGTGGAAAACCTGGATGAGATAAAAAATACAAATTAGTAGTCGAAACAGAGTTTGAACACAGAAAGAAAGCAGGTACCTGAAAAGTTGTAGCATTCATAATGAAGATGTTGCTGATACCACATTTTTTAATCAGGAAGGAAGATATTAAAGTAGCATTTTTGTAAGGTTTTCTATGGAAACAGGATTTGAATGTTATGCTGCATCTCCCCTCTGCCCCTCCCACAACCTTTTGCAGACATTTGTGGGGAAACGGCAATTGGCATGAGCCTTCCACACAGGCATAGGAGTTGCACACTGGCTTCTCTGTCCGACCAGCAGGTCATCACTGCAATTCTGGGATTAAGAAGGCGGGATAAAGATCAACAAGAGCTATGGTTCAAAGCTTTGGTTTTACTGTTCACTGAACTTGAAATTTCTTTTGCATCAGTTGATCAGACTGGGTAATTACTGTTCTGTCACCTTTATTCTACAATAATTTCACAGATGAGCAGAGACACTGTGTTTCATGGAAACTAACTTTTGCAAATGTCTTTTTGAGGCTGCTTACAAAAATACTTCTGGTTTTTTTTTTTCCTTCTGATTAACAAAAAGACCGTAAATCCACTTGGGAGCATCTCAACTACTTTTATTCTCCTAGGTAGAAGAGAGAATTTTTCCTAGTTCCACATCTCAGTGTGAGTCCCTCTGGAATACAGTTGCCAGCACTATGCTCATTAGTACTTCTTTACCAATAAAATGGCCTGTGATAAAAACATAGTGACAAAATACAACGTATCAGGGTTAACTGAACACTGAAATAATGTTGACTTAAAATTGCCAGGAATGCAGCATTCACCCTCATCAACTACAAATTAGATGTTCTTAATTTAATTATCAGTTCTAGTTTATACCTGCCTTACTCCAAGAATTGTAGCCTGTGGACTATAGGAGATTATCACCGATGTGTTTTAAAAGATATGATTAGTTATATCTGTTCAAAGGGCTGTGCTCCTTAGGGCGCTCAGAGAATTGGCAGAAAAAGGTGAAAATGAGACCTACTTACAGGTTTTAGGAGGATGAAAGACTGAGCCAACAAATTACTTAAGAAATGATCGTGAGCCAGTCGTATGCTCTCAAAATCTCTTGTGGCATTTATCTGCTGCAGAAGCTGTGAAAACTGAGACTCCAGTACATCCACCTGATGGATACATGAAGAAACCTCATTAGTGATTTGAGGAATTGGGAGTGTTTCAGACCAGCCAGAAGTTTTGCCTAAGAAACTTACTTTCCTTATAACTACTCTTACGTTAGAGGCTGAGGATCCCCTTCTCTCGGGCTGATGAATGAATTATATACAAGAGCAGTACATAATGTGGGGTACACAACCATTTTTTATGCCTAAGTAATATCTAAGTAAAAAGGGAAATGGTCACTTTCTTTACCTATTAAAAAAGTATATAGCTAGCACGTAAACAAAGGTATTCAATTGTAGTAATTTCTGAATTTTATACTGGATACTATCTGGAAACTTAGAGCAAAGGCTGCAGTGCAAAAGCTCATCCACATTACTTTGGAGAATTTAGAAAGCCAGGCCTCCTTTCAATTCTTTAAAAACCAAACCAACCGAACAAAAAAGCCCAAAGCTCAGAGTTCGCTGAAAGAGGCAAGGGAAGAAACCAGGATGGTATCTTAATGATGGTCCTTCAGAGGTGACTGCGGTTTCTCACAAACTTTTAGTAGCACTAGAGCTACTAAAAAACTCCTGCATTTCACTGGTTCACAAGTCCAAAAACTCTAATTGTTGCAATAGTCTGAGAACTCAGAGTAAGCTATGGACTCGAAGAAAATCCCGATTTCCTTAAGGTGCAAGGAATCAGAAACCTGAGATAGGTCTTCAGTGCTCCCTCCATTCGTTTCTGCCAGTTTCTGATTACTTATACAGTTTATCTTTCTCTGTAATACTGACCTGCAGATAATACTGAAGATTGTCCACCAGGAAAGCCATGTGATCCCTCAGACGCCACTTGAT